CTCCACTGCATCCCCCCACCTAATTATAGTAAACGTTGTGTAGATGGATGAAATCAGATTCAATCAGATTCATCTGCTAGTTTAATGTCTGGTATCACCCGAGTGTAAGATCGCCTCAGTTGTTGCCAGATCTCACAAGAGTATGTTGCTAAAACTAATAAAAATTAACAGTTAATGTTCTCCTGATTTGTCTGTCTGGAAAATGCTTATTCAATGTCAGCATGTCTAGAAGGGTTGGGTCTTGTGAAAAATGGGTCCGATATTAACTTCAGTGACTATGGAGTGAAGAGAATGGTCATAATCTGTACTCATTTCCACTTTTCTCATTAGAATGAATGGAGTCAGGACCGCTGCTCGTCTCCTAAAGGGGTGGGGCAGTGGTGAAACCCACATGACACGGATACAGGAAATAAACCTAAAATGAGCTGCCTCAGTTTATTAACGGTCTCTAGCAATGCGTTCCAATACCCATACTATATACTATGCCAGAAAAACATTTAGTATGTCCCAACACATAGTATGTCAAATGCAGTGTGTCAAAAATACCAAGTACCTCTCCGGGTTGATCTCTGTCTCTGGTGATCTTGGTGAACAGCATTTTGTTTTATCTCCATGGTAACAGACGTATAAGTAAAAGGGTCAAAGTTCAGGATGTAACGTTATGAGTAAGTAGAATGTCTCAGTTGTGTGCACACTACATGCAATAGTACGTACATTTTACGTACAGCTGCAGTACCTACTAAAAGTAAAAAGAAAAAGTATGTGATTCAGAACACACTCTGGCTCTATTATTGGTATGGTGTTGTAATAATAAGTTTCCGATCAACAAGTGATGGTAACATCAATGGTTTAGCTAGCAAGTGAAATATGCTCCGAGAGTATGGCCTGTGCACTAGCTAATGCATGTAACGTAATGCTAGCTAGCCAATGTTTTGACAGAAATTTAGCGTATTGTTCATACCAAACGCGATGCGAATTTTTGCGTTGCGTTACTTGCACAAGTTTGAACGCTAGAATATTTTGTGTTGACTCGCTTCATATGTGCTAATAACGCATGTCATACACCCGTGAATTCGCTGATTCAATGAATGAGCTACCGCCAGTGCATCCTCTACGTCATACATCCCCGAATGATCTCAATGCTAATTAGCTATCGTGCGTAAGTTCAGATTTTTCAACTCTTGTAAATAAGTATGATGCAAAATCGTGCTACTTGCTTCATTCGTTCCACTTAATTTGCGTATTTTGCATCATTTGCGTCATGTCCATTGCACCACCTGGGGGAAATTCTCGTCTAATTGCATTTTTACATGGACTTTACATGTAATTCACTCATGCAAACTGTTTTATTTGTGCCCGGAGTGAACACAACATAACATTGCGAGGAAATAACCATTCATAAAATTATACTTTAACTATCTCTCAGTGATATAGCCTACATCACTCATTTCACATTCTAGTTTTTCACTTTTTAATACATTTGAAAGAAAATGAATAGAGAGAAAGTACAATGTTTGACACTGATTTTACCTACCATAAATATTTATGGTACCTACACACAGCAGTTGAGCAATGGCTTCTGCTGGCGTACGGAAACACCACTTGGACAAACCACACTGTCATACTGGGAATGGTACTACAAATAATGGCAATTTATTAAGTTTATAAATCATTCTAATTACATTTGCCAATATAAATATATATATGTATAGTGGGAGGTGGGATTTTGAGCATATCTGAAAATTGGGGTGTGTGTGCCCCCTCCCGAAATATATTATAATTACTGCCTTGAATCAAGCCTCTGTAAGACAGTCAATATCAGCCGCAGTGAGCCTTCTCATACATGTCATTGGGGAATCATGTGGGTCACAAAGGAACAACAAAAATGTTTGCACAATTTAAAGTCACAATCGAATGGGATCAAAGACAAACTAGTGCAGGGACACTGAACAGCCTGGCGATCTGTGTGAGGATGAATATTGAGGGCCCATTGAGGCCCTCATGGCGTCAAACACAAGGGACTAATCTCATGCTCTCAGCACAAACAAAATGGTCACAGGTCCTCCTCTGTTGCTCTCACTTACCAATTCTCTCACTTCACCGACTTCCCAACCCTTAGAATAATCATCTGGCCCAGGGCCCTTAGTTTCAAGGGCATAAACAGATCTGAGTATCTCCTATGTTTGAGTCAGTGCTCTTTGAGTTCACTTGATGATCATGTGACCTTGCTTTATTTCCTGCAGTACTTGCCAACCAAATATTTATTTTCTTTATTGACATGTATATCAGTAGCAGCTGGGGCATTGTCTCTCAATCACAATATGGGCCCAGGAGAGCTGTTGGGCTGTGATATGCAGCTGATTGGGATAACAGCTAGTAGTAAACAGGGATTTTGTATTTTCCCAGAAGAGAACGAGAGACTGTCAGATGCTTGTCAGCATGCTTCCAGTTGCCAACTTTCAAACGCTTGACCTGAGCTAACAGATTTCCACTTCCACCTTTTCCAGCCTTTAATGCCAAAATCAGGGTGAAACACTTTGAAGTGCAGAATGACTCTTTCCAAATATAAACTGATGCAAAACAGCAAAGAGTTCTGGCAAATCAACACCAGAAGAGGAGGCTAACAAAAGCTGGTAGGAATGGCCACCCACAGGCAGACGGCAGTGGTTGAAAAAATACTCTAAATGTGGCAGAAACTAATACAAAACAATATGAAATGACATCTCTTTTTAGGGTGTGTCGCTTTCAGTGTAACCCTTTGGTAGCACCTTATTTTAAAAGTCCACCTACAGACCATTTATAGAGTATTTGTAACATTTCCACAGCTTATTAGTTGAGACCCAACCATTCAGTATTTTGCTTTGTCTGATTAACTGAATATTTTCAGAATAATTTAGCAGAATCTAAACCATTCAGTCAACTTATGCTACATAGGTTGGATGAAAAGTTCAGTTAAAGTATTCTAAGAATATGTAGGTATATTCATGAATTGTCACATAGGCTAAAATCAACAGATAATCACTCGATACATACACAGGTGGTATTTACCCTTTCGAAACAGGACATACTGTGAAGGACACACAGAAACACAGCTTGGTTTAATTTACAATATTGTGCGCTGGATGAAGGTGAGATTTTTCTTATGGAATTAGTTGATAAAACAATCATTACAAACTGAACAAATTTGTGATTTTCATTAATGTTTCAGGTATTTTTGCTCAATTAAGTTTCATTTATTATTGTTCTTACCAAGTTGACTATATTGGAAGCAGGTTTAAAATCTCGCACTGTGTGGCACTTGTTTTAGATGACAAAAATGTAGGATTTAGTTCAGGTGTGGATTGATAATATGGTAATTTTTAGTGGTGTATTAACATTTATTCAAAGCCAGCACATTCCTGTCACACACTGCATGACATTTTGAGCTTATTGTGTTTTGAAAATAAACCTGCATTAGTCACAGTAACTAGTAGCTACATAAATTAAATATAGTGGGTTAAGAACTACATTTCCATCTCAGACATGCACAAAAACTATACATAAATACAGTGCTTGAGTAAATGTATTTAGGTTGCTTTCCACTTCTAGAGGCAGAGGATGGATGTTGTTTTCAGGATAAAAGCTGCTCTTGCAGCCCGGTCTTACTGGCATCCATTTCACCTCATTAGGACCCTGGGACTGAGAGTCGACAAAACACTGAGAGAAATCATTTTGCCGGGGGAGTGTGGCGGGGATAAATTGGCCTCTGGTTCAGTACGAGAGTCCCCGCTGTGCCAAGCGGAAGAGAAGGGCCTGGCTGGCAGTAGGGGCAGGCCCAGGCAAGGCAGGCTGGGAAGCCCCATGCTGAGACCCCCTCCCTGCCTTTGACAAACACGGCAGTGGATAATCTCTCCTTCAGGGACTCGGCCCTGCGCTGTGGGGCTGAGAGGGAAGGGGGCTGTTATACGGCACAGTGCAGAGGAACTGCCTCTGTATGTGTGCAGCATGTACCACAAACACACTTGTTTGCATTGTGTATTTCAACTGCGCACAGCTTATGTACATTTTCCCGTGTGTACACTTTCTCTCTGTTCCTCCAACATGCATTCATCACTGTGACAGTTTCAATAAATAGAGCTCTACATGAATGTACAGTTGCTACAAAATGATTGTGAATATCTCCGATAAATTCTGATGAGCACTTGAACTTGAGTAACTCATGTCGTCTGAAACAAATGCACAGCATGTCAGAGGGTGATAACACCTGTCCAGTACAGGTAGATTGTGTTGACTCTACAGATGTGCTTCTTAAAAAAATCAACAGCTCTTACAAAGACTGTAATTTGTAGATATTTTAGCCAAACCCGAGTCATCTTCTATACAAAGACTAATAACTGCAAAGATGGACTTAGTTTATGCATGAAAGAGTATGAGCTGTCCAAGGACGAGGTGAAATGGAAGGATGCAAATATAGATTTCTGGCTATCATCATTCCAGCATCAGCTAAATGTAGTCTTTGTTGGGGGTGTGAAGGCAGTTATTAAGTATTCATTTACCAATATAACTTCCTCAATTTCAGCAATGTTCCTGTGAATACTAAAGAAATGCAATCCAATTAGACCAGTTCAAGTGCATTCTGTATATCTAATTAAACATTAAGTAAAATAAACTCAAAAGTAATGTGTAAACTATAGCATGTGTATTATCTATAACAGGGTTCCCACACCTTAAAATTCAAGTTCAAGGACTTTCCAGTCTGTGTTCCTTGCCTTCTCTGACACAGCAAAGCAAAACAGCATGTGTAAGTTGAGCGATAGAGACAAAGAACTTCTATTCTTGCACAAAATGTACATATTCAAGCACTTTCAATGACCCATGTCTATTTATGTCTATTTTCAAAAATGTTAAAGAGCATGATTTTTTCCTCCAATGATTTCAAGGACCTGTGGTGACCCTTCTATATATGTCATCGTCTAAACATCTGCAGTATCAGTTGGTAAGTAAGAACAATCCAAAAGACCTGTTTTCTCCAAACACTTTTACTTTTCCATCAATATTTTTTTACAAAAAAAAAAAAGAAACAAATTAACATCCTCTCTCCTGGGGGTGTGCTGGGTCAACCGATAATATTCAAATATAAATGTCCATATCTGATGTCATCGAACACTGAAAGGCCTCGTCAGCCGCTAAGAGGTCTCCATCTTGTAACCATGTTTTTCCAGCTCAGCTCTGCAGGGAGGAAAAGGAAAGAAAGATCAAGTCAGTAGAGATGATTACAGGTGGGTGGTTGAGGCATAAGTACCCTCTGCTATTGATTGTGAGAACCATTAAGAGATGGGAGTGAAGAAATATATAAATATTGCATAATGCGTGCAGCTATGGATTTGATGATTACATATATACATAGTATATATGGCAGCAGTGCCCTTTAACAATAATAATATCTTTATGAAACAACTTAATAGTACGGCTATAATAATTGGCCTAAATAAAACAATAGCATATTACTGTGTAAAGTGTACTCAAATAAAAACAGACCAGCCACTTATCTATCAACAGTTATTGATTATCCAGCAAATGTGAGTGTAAGCATGACAGATCTTATGATGATGATGGTAACGTTGATGTGAAATGCAAGGTGTTTGTGGCACAATTTCAGATGCAAGTGAAACATGCAGTGGCAAAGTGCAATTAACAACATAAGCTGTCAAGGAGGAGCTGCAAGATGGCAGCAACGTGAGGAAACCGGGAATATGAGCACACTTGGCTTCCTGCTATTTTCAAAATGCAAGATGCATTAACACATCTGCAGTAAGTAGCTTCCTAAGCAGGCTTTTTGGTGCTGCGAGCTCTTGACCTTCAAGCTGTACATTAGAGAAAACCTTCCTTCATCCTTAAAATATAAGCACTGGATTTCATTCCTGTTTAACAAGGAGTATACTGAATCATATATGTTTATATATACACATACATACATATATACATACATATATATATACACACACATATATATTTTTATATATACACACATATATTTTTATATATATATA